TACGTGGGTCAGTTGACGCAGTTGACAGTTGAGGTTGGACTCGTAGTAAATGTGGTTAGTATTCAAACTTACGCGGGAAGAATAAACAGCTATTTATTTATCATACATTTGGCGTGGAGTTGAGGAATAGCAGAGGTTTTAGGTAGGCCTCGCATCAAACCAAGGTGGAAGTTATGTCTTGCACACATTTCTTCATTGGTACCAGCGGAAATTCTTTGAATTTCTAATGGGGCCTAGCGTTATGCCTCTACGGAATAGAACGTTATGTAAAATAACAATAAAGATCTAGTCATAAGTATACTTTAGCTTCTATATAGAAGTCAAAACCACAATTTCTAAACACGAATTAAAGATAACGTTGTCATCATCAACCTTGTCACTAGAATCATAGAGTAGAATCATAGAATCTACTTTACCTTTTCGAATATCACATCAACAGGTTTCTCGATACTTTGCGTACCAGTCTATAACAAGAACATCTCTATTTAAAACTCCTGTAATGAGTCATCGCGGCTTTAAGCTTATCTGTAATATCACAAAGAAACCATTTCTGGAAGCCTTAATAAGCCTTAACGCAGAATAGTTATGCTTCAATCAAGAATTCCTATGATCACCTAGTGTGCCGTAAGACTTATGTGTGATAACAGAATACTTCAATCCAAAATTTATTTAATTAACTGGCATATCATAAAATTTATCTGTTATTAGGTATACAAAGCAACCACTTCTTAACGCGTAAGCAATCCCGTCGAGCATAAGACTGGCTGACACTGGCATGTACCTATATGTATCTATCTCAATAAAATATTGTCTATTTAAATATATTTTATATTCATTTAGTAGTTCTTCTCTAAATACTTCACTCTGTACTTCTATAACACCCACAAATATGCACTTTTTAAACAATTCCTCAACATATTTACCAAGCATTCGCTCGTCTATTAGAATGCAATTCTAATAAAGTTCTGCACCCACATTATTTTGTTTATTTTCGCATCTATTTTTCTTAATATAAAGCAAGTCATTTCGATTAGAAAAATTTTTCACTTTAAATTAGTTTATACGCTCATTGCTCTTGACATTTTAAAAAACACCATTTTTCTTAACGTGTCCTTAGCGGAGCGGATGGAATACGTTTCGGATGATTCAATGTTGAAATTTTTCGTTCTTATTGATTTAATTTTTTTTATGATTTACTATGATGCTGACACTCTTTAGTTCGTCCTTTGTACTCCACGTTCCATGTTGCATGCTCTGTGCTCCGTGCTCCATGTTCCGAACTCCGAGCTCCAAGCTCCAAGTTCCGTGTTCCTTTCCATGATGAAAATGCATTTGCATTTTTATAAACCCAAAGAAAGGAAAATATTTTGACAAGAAAAATAAAGTTGCTTTCACATAAAATGCAACAATATTAAAACCAAACAAACAAAAAATGGTAATAACAACAAAAAAGTGATGATGGTAAAATATGCAACTAAAAAAATATGAATTTGCTAAATTGATTTATGAACAAGCACAACAAATCTAACCACAACAATAACAACAACACGTAAAGGTTAAAGTAATATTTTTGAGCTACATTTGGCACATTGCGATGCGAACACACTTGGAACAAAGGCCACAGAGCAGATACATAAGGGAGATACATAAGATAGATATATTGTATTAAACATAAGCATATGGCACAATCTTTTCATGGCCTTAATCCGAAGACATATCTTGGTAATTGAAAAGGATACGTTATGAGTGAGGAGATGAGGTGTTCAAATGAAGTGCCATATACTTTGAAATTTACTCTCTGGCGATCCCCAAATTTGTGAAATAATATAATAACAAATATAAACTGTAATTCGTCATTAAAAGTCTTTTTTTTTTAATTTTCTCCTCATTAATATATATGCTTCTACATGCATTCCAAGCATTTGGTTTACCGCTGTTATCCATCTCACTTGACACACCTTCAAAAATTGGTACTTGAACGTTATAACGGCTTTTATTTGGCCGGTAGAAAATGTTGCCACGCTATTTATTTTTCATTTCACATATTCTTTTCTAACCAGAAATGTATCACTTGGGCCTGACCAATACTATATCCGATCAATATAGAACCTCTATGAAGCCTACAGCCTTTGCTTATAATTTTAAAGGAACTTTTTATTGGAATTGTGGACAATGACGTTCCATAAATTATTTGCATTTCACTTTTCTTCTGCAACATATAGCTGACGATCTTGATCGTCTTGACCGTACAGACTCCACTTCAATGTCTAGCAATTGCAATATTGCTATTTAATCTTATTGAAATGTGCGCTATATAGCTCCATTTGCGTTGCTAGATTTCGTCTGCTGCTTTAGTTTGACCACAGATCAGAACTGTGGTGGAGGTAATCTATTAATTCGATATCTTAAATACTCTTAAAGTCATTGTTATAAATCAAATCCGAATTTAGCAGTTCATTGTCTTCATATCTTCGTACAGTACTGACAACAAAACATGATATATTATTAATCATTCTACTCTGTTTTATTTCAACTAAAGCGGAATCTACTCAACACTATAGTTTTGGTGCTAATAAGTCACTAGGTTATGGCCTGCCTATGCAAAAGTGAAGAAAATTATACTTGCAGTTTTAGTTAAATAGGAGAGTCCTACTCGTTCCTTATGATGTTATCTACGTGCAAACCTCTTTGATCTTTATGCCTACTTCCGTGGTGTTCTTAGTTTAGCGCATAAGCAAAGTCTCTATTCGTACCGTCACAACAGCGCATTTATTTATGCCTTGTGCGTCAAGGCTACCACTCCAACCTAATCTAAAAATATTTTCTTTAGTCAATTGTTAATTCAAAATACTTTTTCTAGAATTTTTTTTCTTTAAAAGGAGGAATATTCTTTGCTGCAATCACACCATATACCCAATCCACCACTGTTCGAACTAATTTCAAAAGTTATTTTAACGTACTGAAATGAACGTCTCTTTAATCATAGTCTACCATTATACCGTCTTAAAATCGGACTCATACAAAGTGTTATTAAGATTGCCTTTATGTGAAAATATCATTTTACAATGGAATAGTATCATAATGGCAGCTAGTAGAGTATTAGAATTAGAATGTATATTGCATTTATATGCAATTTGTAAAAACCTCTAATGCATTCTATGTCTTTGGGGCAATCAGTGTTGTTTTTGTATGTTAACGACAAATGGTTTCTAAAAAATATCACTTTTTCTTTGTGGAAAATGTCACATTCGTTTCTGAAATGAAAAATGACTTTTTAGCGGAATTTGCAAACAATTATTTTAAAATACTTACTTTTGCTTTATGCACATGATTAACACAAATTCACTGGAATTGCATACGTACAGTTGCAGATATGTCACTTCATAGGAATTGTTTTTTTTTTAATGAAATAAATATTAAAGTTGCGACACGCAACACAATGATTACCAGTAATCTGTATTTAAATTACTGAAGTTCAGATAAAAACAAAATACTTCAACTTGTTTAATACCAAGCAATTACATAAAAAATTTAAATTCAAAATTTCAAATCTAACTAAATTTCTCTTAACTTTGAACTCCCCAACCTCTCCTTCACCCATTTCAAAGTATTACCAAAGCTGACATTTCAATTTCAGATCTATTCAATTTATAATATTCATAGATTACCCACCCCTCTCTTCGCCATACTAAAATGTAATTTTGAAAAATAAACTAAAACTGGAAAAAGATTTAAAGATGCTGTTTATTACTTCAAGCTATATACTATACCTTCAACTGCTTTCTTTTGTATTTTAACCAGAACATCTTAACCTATGCTATCATCTTAACAAAATGAGGGTTCTGAGATGTAGAAAATAGAACTGTTCAGCTTTTATATGAGCTATAAAGAAAATATTACAGTGAAAGCTTGCATCATTTCTTCAGAATTGGGAATTCTGAATTTGATTCACAATACTAAAATCTTCTGTTCGATGAAGATCAGAACATTATTCCTCAGAGAAACAGAGCTGAGGTTTTTCGCAGTTAATCTATCGCATTATATTTGTTAACGCTATCGTCTCAACAAAATGTATCTGTCTGAGGAAATAGAATGTTGACTCTGCTGTTGCTACGACCTACAATCAAATTCTGTAACTATCTGGTTTTAATCTGGGTAGAAATTGTAGACATTTTTGGATGAGATTATTGCCGAGATTTCCAATCCCTATCTGATTTTAGGATGTCTTTAACAACTGACATTCAAGTTTGTATTTAGAGAGCGGAACCTTGTCTGTTTAGTTAATATAGATTAAAAACAAAAAAGTTCAGCTATGCTCGCAGTGTCCTTCTAGGATTTAGAGTATCACATATAATTTCTATTCTATTCTAAGATCAAAACATCTGCAATATTGTCTCGCAGAGAATAACTATAGTCACAGTATGCCGTTCTTATAGATTTCTAAGTCGCTATCAAAAACTTTTTTAAAAATTGAAGCACGCCTATCTTCTAAGATTGGATATCTACGCGAGTTATTGCTTTATAATTCTTCCGCCTTCTCTTGGCAATTATAATTACAGATGTGCATCTTTCTTAAATATTCATTTTAAATCTCCATTAAATATTTTCATATAAATATTTATTATAACTTTTTGCCATTTTTCTTTTCAATTATTCAGCCAACAACCACAGAAGTCCTCATATATTTATTTATCAGTAGTATATCAACTCACATAATTGAATTCTTTTCAATGCATTTTTCCATTCGATGTTGTAATTCTATATTTTTATAATGTAAAAAATCAAATTTAATCGAAAGTATGTTTTGCAGTGCTTTTCATAAATATTTTCAATATTTTTATTTAAATTAAAAAAGTAGATCAATCAAACAGAAAGAACAATTATTGTAAAAGTTGGAAAAGTTTTCCATTCAGAAGTGAGTGAGTGGACCCTCATTGGCAATTGGAGCAGTGAGTGCATCGCGATATACAATTACAATATTTTAACAACTTGGAAGTGTCAATTAAATAAAAATAAATTTTAAAAAATTTAATAAAAATAAGTATAAAGAGGCGAAATATATTAAAGGACTCCCATTTGGAAGTGTATTGATGGGTGGTCAATTTTAAAAGTTGTACTTAATATACAGTTGCTATAATATCTGAAAACAACATAAGAGATATCAAATTTAATATTACAAAATAATAATATAAACTACATGTATTTTTTTATTTAATAGTTTAACGTAATTTGGATATCTCGGGCACACCGATTTGACAGTGAATTTTAGTAAAGCTACTAATCTCACCGTTTCAGATGATTTCCTTTAAAGATACGTCATTAATTTGAAAATAAGCTTTTGTTGCTAATTAAATATCAAAGTTGATTAAAATATTAGGATTATAGTCACTGCAAATTTGCCTCTGTGATTGAAGAAATTGATTATATCTTTAGTAGTTTTGTTGGAAACAAGCTCTAAACTAGAAGTTTGAAAAATTGAAAAAAAATTTTAAAGTAAACTCCTGCAATATTATTTGATGAGAGATCCATCAGTTCATCTGTTATAATTGCAGTAACCCAATGTATCCAAAATATAGCAAATGCAGCCAATTACATTTCTCTGTAGAGTTGTTAGTGTTTCAGAACAGAAAATCATTTTTCAACTCTAGCTGTTGCTATTGATTGAGTAGTCAAAATCGTGCGAAGATATATTCTTCTTAAAAATAAGTACTGCAAATTACAAAATCTCAGTATATGCAACAGTCGTTGATATATCCCCACATCGAAATACATATATATGCATATAATTTTCACAGTAGACAACGACATTTGATCGACTCTATATTTCTGTGTGTAATAGCTCACGCATAGCTCCTGGTTATTTTCCTATATGGGTATGCTTGCATTTACATAGTAATCTGTTCATAGATTTAGAGTATTACTCCAAGTCCATTTCCTCTAAAAATTCTAATATTAATTATAGCTTTACCTCTGTTGGTGATATTTTTTATCCAATATCAACTGCCTAACTAGGTACTTTTTTCTCTTAAGCATCAGTGTTGGGCAAATAGAGGTCTTCATCTTTCATGCTTTGAGGTTCCAGTCCCCACAAAAGCTACTAGTTCTATAAGAGTTTTATAATGGGATAGTTGAATAGACACCTACAGTGCTCTGTCAAAATTCTTGCAATGAATCTTTAAATAGTTTTAGGGTGAATATTTGTATAACCGATTTTAATTCTGTTAGCCTTTGTAAATTATCCAAGTATATATTTCTTCCTTCTCCTCTTCTTTCTTAATGGGTAAGAAGAAATTGCCACCTCCCAAGCAACGAAATGGTTCCAGCTTCACAAACAACAAAACTAGTATGTAAAATATATTTTAAAAAATTTATAATAATTTTTTGAGCGGTCACAAAAAAACGAATAAAAAAAATTTTAATATTTTTTTTTCAACTTTATAATTTTTTACATATTACTTGTGTATATACATTTGAATATATGTAAATATTCTTGTTTGTCTAATCTAAAAGTGCACAACTTTCCAAAACTAAACTGAAGTGCAGTAAATCAACATTCACTATATTTCATTATTTTTTTCTATATTCCATTTTTGTCTCCAAATTTTTTGCTTTATTAGATTTTATTGACCTATTTTTTATTTTATAGAGAATTTCTTAAATTTTCATACAAAAATATGTCAACAAATAAATTATCATTCTCAATGGCTTTTTTAGTGCAGCAATGATTGTAACAACTAACAGAACAACAACAACAACAACAAAATCCACAATAAAAACACAATCCAAAATAAAACAACAAAATCCACAATAAAAACAAAATTCAAAACAGTAACGAAAACTAAAAAAAAAAGTAAAGAAAATCAAACTAAAAAAAACTGCAAGAAATACAATAACAAAGATGCATGACTACCATAAATCCCATAAAATTGAATCTGTCCCTATATGAGCATACGGTGTTTTGGGTCGTAAACCTGGAAACCTGAAAATATAACATTTATGTCTATTTTTTGTAAATAAATTTGAAAAGTTTTGTTTGGCTTTGTTTGCTTGTATTGGGTGACAAGCCAGAACAAAAACAAAAACAACAACAACAACAAGTTTGATAAATACATAAATTTTTTTAGGTCTGATATTCTTAAAGCCAGTACGAGTAATGCACGAAGATATGAGAGCATAGATGGATGGACAGTTGGACAAGACAAGCAGACAGACACAGTATCGCAGTTGTGCAGTTGTGTTGGCAATATGTTGCGTACAAAGTAAAAGAATTTCTTATGTTTTCTGTCAAAATGATAATAATGACTGTCAATGTTGTTGTCATTTGTTTCTGTGTTGTCACAATCAATTTCGATATATTTTATACAAGTTGCAGACATGACCTTTCATTCCCGGGATATCGTATGCGTATGTGCACAGTACATAGGACGGCTTAATTTCACTTGTTTAGCAAAATGTTAATTTTTTGATAAATTGATACGATTACTCTTGCTGCGGGCATAAATGTCAAATTAATGTGCTACAAAGAAGATAAATACTTACTCTTATATGTTTACGGAAAACATATGGATATTCCATCTATGTAAAAGTCTATTAAATTTGTTAAAAAATTAAGATTACACAGAAAACATATGATTTCATTTAAAAATTGATAAAATTTTGACACATAAGTTTGAAGTTTTGTAAAACAATAATATATACTCTAAGACATCGTATGAATTGGTTTATAATCTAAATAAGTTATGTAGTATTAGAACATCACCTTCTCACAACTCTCCATCCAGATTTGTTACTTCAATAGCATTTGGCATCAGTCAAGAGTATAGTTCCATTAAACAGTTAACTTGGATTAATATTGCACAAAAGAAATATTGGCGCTCCAACTTTAAAAGAATTTGTAACTTTTATCGCATCATATCTTTCTAACTACACAACTCAAAAATTATATATCTACGTAATTTTGTTTTATAATTTTTGAGTTGTTAGTCAAAACTTTTTTGAAATCGGTATTATTATGTTGAAGCTGTTTTGAGTTAGTGCACTTAAGCACTTTTACTCTTTCTTAACTCGAGGTATTTTCAGAACCCCTTTTTACACCTTGACTAGATTATTGTTTATCACTTCATCAGACTAAGCAATAATTGAACTCAGATCTGCATACCTCCCCGAGGAGCCCGTAACCATTTTGAGATTTGATTTGATTCTGCCTTCATTAGAAGATGAAAGCCAGGAATTCTCCTGATGAAGGTAGAAGCGAATTTTCCGAAATAGATATAGGAATATGCAAAAAAATACGATCGAAATAAAAGTTAAAACCCTAAAAAACAAAACCGACTTTATATACCAACGTATTTTATCTTGTTTACGTCAGTTTTGCTTTCTGACCAATTTCCTACACCACAGATAAAATTTGATTAGTTGACCATATTGTGTATTTAAAGATTAGTTTTCCAATTTTTTTATATCTAAAAACGATTGATTTATTTAATTGTATCTGTCTTTATGGTGTATTTTCTCTTATTGATGGACTATGTTTACCAAAGTCCATGGTTCTATGCTTCACTTAGGAGAAAATAAATATTTTTTTTTGAATGGTTTCAATGTGGCCTTATATGTTATGTACTCTATGTGTATAAATGATCTTCAATATTTAGCATTAATTGTCATAACCTAAACACTAAGACTAGCATTACAAAGACTATTAATAAATAATCTTCTTAATATCAGCCAAGACTAAAATATAAGCTGTATGAACAAATATTTGTCAATATTCCGAATCTACGATTCGCTGCTCTGCTACTGTTTGGTTCCGACTAACTCGGACTAACTGCACAATAGTTTTTACTGGGCGATGAGTTTCCATTCTTATATAAACGAGTAATAATGTTCTTTGGAAACTATCAAAGATATTTTAATATATCGTTGATTCTACTTATCCTGTATTTAACTATTATATATTGATTGATGCTAGCTACTGATAATTTCTCGATTGATGCTATGGGTGCATCCATACTTGTATTATTCCTATGAATTCCGAATATTTTTCGAATATGTTCCGATTATATTCCTAAGATGCTCTGTCTGACTATCTCATTTACCTTACAATTATTTGACCTATTTTAATTGAATATACTTTCCGTTCCTCTTTAAATTATTTAAGATCTTAGAAGAATATTTTAAGTAACAAAGTTAATATGTTTCATATGACGGACTTGTGTATTTGTGGTAGAAAAAGCAATCAAATTTTAATAATTGCAATTTAACTTAGAGACAATTCACAATTTTGACAAACGTTTCATGTCTTCAGCACATTAAATAGATTAAATTTATAAAACCCAACAAATACACACACACTCGCACACAAACACTTTAAGAACATTTATAGCCGAACCATTTAACTTGCATAAATATTGGCTTGCAATAGCCATTGACATAAAATTAACCCTTTTAATACTCGTATTCGAATTTATATGAGAGTGCAGACATCCGATATAGACATTTACGGGCACATAAATAATAAGCCCTACCAACATAAACACGCAACAGACAGACAAACCGGCAGCATTGCTACCAACATCACCACCATCAACAACAACAACAACAACGACAAAAACAAATACGAAAGTGTTGACAAAGTCGCGACTACAAAAAATGACAATATAATCAAAAAAATCAAAAAAAAAAAAATCAAAAATATGCACAAAAAAAAAACAATAAATAAATAAACAAATAAAAATGGAGAAATCAAATATTTTGATAAATATGGAAATGCATAAATAACGGATATGCCGGGTACAAAAATAAATAATCACTTTCATGTCGAAATACTGGAATTCAGGAGCTCAGTACGTTGTTGACAGTAGTAGACATATTGCGAAAATATTGATACAAGCAGCATTTACGATATATTAAAGATAATTCACCACTCACAGTCACCCTACACCCCCACACATGCATTCGTCGTAATTCGAATTTTTTACCTTTGCCATAAGGTGGTTTTTGTGTTTGCATATATATATATGTGTGTGTGTGTGTAGAGTATGTAAAATCAATATTACACTTACACAATGACAACAATTTGATTTTTATCGTCATCAAAGTGTCGCTGTAAAAATTTTACTGATTCATACCATATACCATATACGATATACGTACATATCTGTGAATGAAAAAAGGGTTAAGTACGAATGTGGCTTTTTACTGGTGGTTGGAGTGAGGTGGTGTGGAGTGGAGTGGTGTGGGAAATAGCTTTTGAAAATATTGTTTAACAATGTCAGACACACAAATTTATTTATGGTCAATTGAACAACAAAATATTGGTAATAAATTGAATGTTAATGCGTTATTTTTCATTTTATTGATACAAGCATGCCGTCAGGCTGTGATATCCTCAATTGAATCAAAATCCACCATAACAGCTTAACAGCATAATGGCATAATGGCAAGGAGATAAACAGTCCTTCATTTGATTATGATAAAAATTGAATTTAAATCTAAGGATATTAGCATAATTGGGATAACAGAGAGTTTAATAATGTTAACATGGATATGTATGTAACATATTCCTAATTTTTAAGTATGACACGCCAATAAGAAAATATCTGCAAAACGTGATAGTTTTCTATTCGCTGAAGATGGACATGAACACATAAGGTGAAACATAGGTTTTTCCTTCTGAACAGAACCATAATCACCATAAAGATAATTTTAGTACAAGCTCACTACATACCTTCCTGATACACAGTGACCTATCATCACCTGTACTATAAAACTAAGTGGATTCGACTATAGTTGAAGCAGTTGAATAATGCTTTGATTCATTTGGATATCGTATCTTGATGTTTGATAAAACTCTTCATTTACCAATGCTTTTATAGTTAACCCTAAGTACTTGTATTTATATTAATAGCGAACTTAGTCGTTGCAAGTGTGATACTTATATCTAATCCATCATGCAAAAAAGGACCCATTCGACCCATTTATATTATTTTATTTTTGATTATTGATTAAAGCTTAATTTCCCCACATTAATATAGTAATATTTTGTAATTAATATAGTAATACTGGTAACAGAAGCACATCAACAATAGTACAAAAATAATACAAAAAATTGTAATAATTAGAATAACACACTAAATGTAATTTTAATTTTCTCTTTTAACCTGGAGATGTCTTCAATGTTTGAATTCATATTCATATTTTTTTGACGTATGGAATTTAAGGGTACCAGAGAATTGCAGAAAGTCCTTATTTTCATACTTAGAGGACAGTCGTAAAGAGCAAGCATAAGTGCGTATAAATATTTTTCTGCTACGCTACTCATACGCACTTATACTCACCACACAAATGATTCATGGGTATTTTAGTTAATGAGTGCCGGTGCTAATGACACAGCATCACAAAAGTAGGATCATAAGGTACATTTACGTGCATAGAAAATATGATTGTAGTAAATGATTTTAAGATTTTTATACAAAATTTTTTATCCTTTACTTTGGAACTACAAATAATATTAATTTTTTATTATTCGTTTTGTTAAGATATTTGTTATTATATAACAAAAATTGTAATT